ATTCTATTATGATTAATATAATTAAAAGTAAATTTTAAAAAGTTTATAATAGATTAATTATAAAATTTTTTAATATAATTTTTTTTTACAAATTACAAATTTTAGCTTTAAATAATCATTAATTTTTTAATATATAATTAAAAGATAAAACTTACTATAATTTATTATATATTTATAAAATTAAATTAAAAAAATATTATTATTTATAAAAGTAAATCAAAAAAGAATTTATAGTAAATAAACAACCAAATTTGCCTGTAAAATCCTACGATTTAAGGGATAAAAATTATTTGATTTATGATAAAACTTATATATTTATTTATAATTGAAAATTAGATTTAATATGTTATTAGTATTAAGCTAATCTAATTTTATTTAATTGTATTTTATTTTACTTTTTTTTATTAAAAAAATACATTCTGTTTATAATAATTTCTAAATAATAAAAATATTAAATATTAAAATATATTAAAATAATAAAGATAAAATAAAATAATACAAATAACATAAATAATAAAAATAATAAAAAAAATAAAATCATAAAAATAATGATTTGCTAATTATTACTATATTTTACTAATTATTCAATTAATTATTTTTTAATTATAATATTTTATATTAAACTTGGATACATAAGTAAATAATATTATCAAAAAAATTTTTTATCAATTTAAAATTGATTAAATTTTTAAAATTCTAATTAATACATTTTTTTAAAATAAAAATATAGTTTAAAATCTATAATAATTATAAAAAAGTATTATAAATATATAATATTATATATATATTATATAAAAAAGATTTAAAAGTTTAAACTTATAATACTTTATTAATTTTTTTAATTTTTTTCTAAAAATTTATTAGTTTTCTAGATAATTTTATAAATCTTTATATTATGTATTTAGGTGTATAAATAATATGAATATTTAATCTTTTATTATATTATAATTTTTTTTACAAATTTTTATTATAAGTATAATCTTTTATATAAATCACTTATTTATTTTAAAATTTAAAAATCATAAATTTATATTTTCTAAATATATTAATTTATTTATTAAAAAAAAGTAAAAATAAAAATTTGATGATTTTATATGAAATAATTACAATAAAATGCTTTTATTATATTGTTATTATATCATTAATTTTTTAATTTATTTAGATTATCGTTAAAATTGTTATAAAGAATTTGTGGTAATATAAAATTTATCTTATAAAAGATAAATTTCTCTAAATTATAGAATATTATTTAGTTGTAAAATATTAGAAAAAATTAATTTTATTTTTATATATTTAATATGATTTTAAGCTAAATTATATTCAAATTTAACATTAATTTATTTTTTATTTTTTAAAGATCCTATATTAATAAAATTAAAAAACAGTAAAATTTATAATCAAAAATTTAGTGATATGTTTCTTAATATATAAATTAAATTTGCATTCTAATGTTTATTTTAAGAATAATATTTATAAACTTTATATATAAAATATCAATTTAATTTATATTTAAAATTTTTGTATTTGAAATATAATTAATAATTTTTTAAAAAGAAAAATTTTATTTAAAATAATATTTTATAATAAATTTTATTATATTTTTGTAAAAAAAAAATTATTAAAAGTTATCATTTAATAAGTTAAAAATTTCTGATAAATTTATAATTTAAATGTTAAATAATATGTTCTTTATATATGGGAGCTTGTCAATAGAAAGGGGGGAAATCTAAAAAAAAATGTTTTTATGAGTTAAAGTTAAATCTGAACTTATTTTACTAAAAAAATCATATTTAGCATATGAAGTAAAATTTTAATTTTTTTAGATTTCCTCCTTTTCTATTGATAAGCTCTCATATATATAAATTAAAGTTTGCATAATTTTAAAATAATTAAAATTGCAAATAAACATATCACAAAATTATTTATATTTATATATAATTTTTACATTAGATTGTATGTATGGATTAATTTTTATAATAATATTAAAATGTTAATGTTTAATAATAAATCAATTAATTAAACTTTATTTCTGTAAATAACAGTGATAATACTTTAATTTGTTAAATTATGATTTATATATATCATTAAAATGTTATGAATTTTATAATTCAGTTATAATTCAATATCTCAAAAAAAATGATTTCAAAAATTAATAAATTTTATTCTAAAATAAAATTTAAGTGGATCCTCGATGAAAATATTTACGTAATTCATCAGAAAAGCATAATCGAGTCACATAAAATCGACTTAAATGATTCTATCTAGTTAACCACTCTTTATTGCAAATTAATCATGGTTCTTGCTTATGCTAAAAAAAAATTCGAATATATAATATTTAAGAGTCACACATATATATATATATATATTTTTACTTTGTCCTTGGAAAATCCGATTATTCCATATATCCTGAACAATTGGCAGTATATTTAAAATGTCTCGATACCTTGTAATTGAATAAGCGTTTATAATAAATAGCATTTATAGATTCGAAATTTTTTTTATTTAGACAAAATCCAATAAAGGATGCCCACGTGACCTTCGATTTATAAAATAATTAAAGAAGTAAGCTAATTAATATTCGACCACGGGTGATTCGATTGATGAATTAGATCTTGCAAATTAATCGCATATTGAAGAAATACTTACTGAAGGGCCCATATTCCAAGAATGAATTTCCATGGTTTAAAGTGTCATTTTTTTTACAGGTTCAAACTTGCTTCGTTAAACGTTATACAGACTTACGAGATTTTTTTTCATATGATAGAAACGGAAAATACAGAACCGAAAATTGATATAACATCACACGTTCTTAATTAGCACTTTTATCTGAAGTACCAATAACGATAACAAAAATAAACAAAAAAGCAAATGAAACCCAAACTTAATTTAGCTATAAAGAATAAGGGAAAAATTAATATTAGAAATTCTCGTTTAATATGGAAATTATTTAATATTTGAATAATAAATCTTTCGAGTTCCTTTGTGGGCTTTATAATTTTGTCTTTATCCTTAAAGAAAAAAGAAACATCATGTTGTTTACATTAGTTTATATTTCAAAAAGTTTTTACCAAATAAAAAAGTAGTCTGCAATAGATGGTTGTTCAACTTGAAAAAAATTATTATTTGTACACAAATCATCAACAGTTAGTTACTTATCACCCTTATAACCCTTGTTTCACTTCATAATTGTTTCTTCGCGCCCAAATTATTCTAGCCGAGTAAATTCAACCTATTCATAATATTTTTAACCTTTTACTTTCTTTTTTGTAAATATGAGCAAATTTAAGACTGTAAACCGTGACGTTGAGGACCCGATCCTTCGTCCTCGACCTGTTTCACAGGAAGGATATTATTATCCAGCGGAACATGCAAATGATAATAATTATCTACACCCAAACTCTAGACGCCAACCAATACGTCAATATGGTTCTTCAGCTTCTTTAGAAGTGCGTCATGAGCATAATCGTCAGCAGAGAGAACAAGAATTTTTTGCAAGTTCGCCATCTGCTGCTCGCAGACAAGCGTCTGCTGAAAATTTAAAAAATGTGCCAGCTATGCGATCAAATGTCAATGACACGGGTTCATCAGATTATTATCAACGATCCGTTATACAAACAAGTAATAACCATCGTTCACCATCTCCTTCAAATACTTATTTACCTCCACAAAATAGCAGAGATTTTGAGGGAACCGGACCGAATTCATATAATTCACGTGGTATTACCCCTCATTTCAACAATCCACCAAATCATAATTCAACACAACCTAAATTATCAAATAATTCACGATCCATTTCCTCACAACCCAAAATTCTTGATCGACCAATTCGGAAAGATTCATACGGGTCGTCTTCTTCACAATATTCTATGAATTCACAAAAACCTACTTCGCATGCAGATCCATTTACAAGCGCGTCTCCCTTTCAACCATCACCAGATTCTCATGGAACCGGACAACGTCAAGTAAATCCAGGAGGACATATGAATCAATCACAATCCAAAGATAATAATAATAATAAATCTCAGCATTTCAATTTGCCCGATCCTGTTTCGATGGAAGATTACGTCTCACAAGCAATTAAATATCACGAAAATAATCAGCTTGAGAAGTCAACAGAGTATTTAAGAGTAGCAACAGAAAAGGATTCTGCTGTTGGAATGGTCCTTTATGGAATAGCTTTAAGACATGGATGGGTAATTAGAAGTGATTTACATAAATATTCAATTTATTCCTTAATTTCATTATTTAACCGATACATTTTTAAAAAACATTTTTTAGGGATGCAAAATAAATGCCGCATTAGCATTCAAATATCTTGAAAAAGCTGCTGCCTCCGTGATGAATTTAAATGATATTAATAAAACGGTTAACTTGTCATCATTTAGAGGAGAATTAACTTTGGCAATTTATGAGCTAGGGGTATGCTTCCGACATGGTTGGGGTATTCCAAAAAATAAGGCAACAGCCGCATATTATTTTGAAATTGCCGCTAATATGGTATGTTAATTTTAGAAATTAATAGTCCGTCTTCAAATTGTCTAATATTTTTTTTTTTTTTTTTGAAATGTTAGGGTGATCCTGATGCACAAAATGACGTGGCACTTTGTTATTATAAGGGTGAAGGGGTGAAGAAAGATATGAAATTGGGTAAGTGTAAATTCATAATAAATAAATAAATATATATTTTTTTTTTTAAAAAAAAATTTACCAATTTACACTTCAAATAGCTGCCAAATATTACAGAATGGCAGATGCACAAGGTCATGGTACAATGGGTAATTCTTGGATTTTCAAAGATAAATATAATGATGGATAAGAAATGAGGAAAAACTTTAATTATTCCGTTAAGAGGCGTGTTAATTTCCTTGGAGTGGTTCATTTGTATATCCTCTGATTGAGGCTGGCATCAAAAAAATATTTATTCTTTTGTATTCAAACTCACTCCCTTCTTTTATTTGTTTTTGATGTATATAATATATTTTTTTTTTATTAAATTATTTTTTTTATTATTTTTGCTTTTCTAGCATAGAATTTATTATTTATAGATGTAACATATAATATAGCTACTAAGGCATATTGTTATCTCTTACAATCAAACCAATCAATCGTATTTAAGAATCAAATAATAATGACCATTTCCTTCATATTATTGTATTTATTTATTCATTTAATTATCCTATTATTTATTTATTTATTTATATTTTTTGAAATAATTTTTTTTAAAAAAAAAGTTATATTCTTTGAACTTTGAAAGTCTGAGAAATTGAAAAAAAAAAAAAGGTGATCTGCTTAATTTATTAAAGATTTGTATTTTACCCCATGATTATTTTTTTTTTTAAAAAGAATTCGATGTTATGACGTCAACCAAATAAATTGGATATGTGATTCAAAATGTTTTTCTTAGAGTCACGTTATAACTTAAACATCACAATTTTCGAGTAAATTATACTTTCCCACTTTTTTAGTCCGGAGCATATCGAAGGACTACCCTACCGTAAAGCGCGCATATCAATTGAGTATCGCCAAGCGTTCTACTACAACGGATAAAAGGCGGAATGGGGAATACCAAATAACGGTAATATTTAATCGAAAATATTGCTGCACTATTGCATTTTTTATTTTTCTGCCTTAATTTCCGGTGTTATAGGTTCAATATTAAATTTTTCGCAGACGTTCTCTTAAGAAAAAATATTTTTTTACATGATCTGTGTGGGTCGGGTTTTAATCTATATAGAAAAATAATCCACCACCTATTAGATAATGAAGGGAAAAAAATAGTTAGAAGACAGGAAAGGAAACTGTAATTCTAAACAATGAATAAAATAAAAAGGTAAACCTGAGAAGGAGGATCATAAAAGCTACCCGAAGAAGTTTATGTGCAAAACCAAACAAAATTTTGATATTCATCAAAGGAGTCTACACGTTAAACAACTCTTGGGCCAGAATAGCAATTCACGGGGGTAATCTGCATCAATGTCATTAAACCGCTACCCTAAATCTGATAACAAAGATGTCACATGAAATGATTTCAACTTTAAACCTTATTAGATCCTTGATCACCATGAAAACCTAAATCTCATTGTTAAATAAAAAACGGTTTGGAAAAAAAAAACTATTCTAAATAAGGGAGGGATCGTTAAGGGAAAAAGAAGATGATACTTCCCTTAAAATGGCATAATCCTAATTTAATTTCATTATCTAGTAGACGCGATTTTAGCATAAAATTTCCACCACCTAATAGATAAATGAAGGAAAAAATATTAGAGGAAAGTACCAAGAATATATAAGGCAGGAGAGGGAAACTGTAATTTACTAACAATGAATAAAATAAAAAGGTAAACGTGAGAAGAAGGATCATAACAGATACCAAAGAAGGTGTTCATGTGCAAAACCCAACAAAATTTTGATATACATCAAAGGAGTCTACACGTTAAACAACTCTTGGGCCAGAATAGCAATTCACGGGGGTAATCTGCATCAATTCACCAAACCGCTACCCTAAGTTTGACTACAAAGATGCCACATGAAATGCTTCTCAACTTTAAACCTTATTAAAATCCTTAATCACCATGAAAACCTAAATCTCATTGTTAAATAAAAAACAGTTTGAAAATAAAACTATTCTAATAAGGGGAGGGATCGTTAAAGGGGAAAAGAAAAAGATACTTCCCTTATAAATATCTAAGCCAAAAAACTCTGGCCAATATTGTTGAAAGGTGTTTGAGTGCAAACGAATACTTCGCGATATCATAATATAATTTTGTGTTCGAAACTAAAAAAAAATTTTTCTTAAACAAAGAAGGGTTGAGAAAAACTTGAAGACAGCCCATAAAATGAATATTTATACTTCTACTCAAAACGCGTCAATTACAAACCAATCGAATAATTTAGGAAATCTGACTCGCCAAAAGGTATTACAGGACTTATTATTACTCATTACTTCGTTTCCTCGTGTAAGTTATCCTAATAAGGTCATATCGCTGTAAGTTAATAACGACTTTATGCAAAAAAAAAATCTAAACGTGTCAAAATGTCTAAAAGCAGCAATTAAACCAAAGTCCAGAATATACAACGAAAGAGACCAATCATGTATCGACTTAATGTTTGAGTGTTCAGATTTTCGTGATGCGTCATATGAACGTCAAAGATTCCCACTGCAATTATATAAAAATATTACCAAAAAAGCGTCGAAACATGAAATTAGCAGAAATCTAATAGATTTTATAGATTTTCAACAAGCGATATGATGGAAACTTATTATATTTTTTATAAAGTACTATGGCTGTATATCCTCCCGCCATGTTTGACAAGTTTGATTGTTGAATAGCTAAAGTTCGAAATTAAAATGTGTTTACCGATTCTTTCGCTGTTCCAGCAAAGAATGGTAAAAGACTTTATTTATTATGACATTCTATTCCGTTATTGTAAAAAAAACATAAAAGCACTTCTTGTTTAATTAAATAACATAAATTACGTGTTATTTGTACCGATAGAAAACAATTTTCGAATATCAATCGAAGAATTATAACATTAAAGAGCAACAATGGTCATTGCTCTAAAAATAGAGCATGTATTTAATAAAAGAAATGCATAATTTGTATTTTACCCATGAAGAAAGTTCTAGCTAATATTGGAAAATTTTGTTGAAAAAAGGCTTGATTTGTTTTTTCTCATTTACAACATATTAGAATTTTGCAAAATCATGTTAACGAATTATATTAATAAAATCGTTGAAAAATGTTAAGTTATATTTGTTAAATAATTAACCTTTCTTTTTTACATAAGACAAATCCAACATTCGGGAATACCAAGAAAGCTACCCAAATTATAATTCCTATAATAGTTTATCAATCAATGGTCCCGTATTACGTTAACGCATATTGCGATGATCCATCGTAGATCAGTTTTTTAAAAAAATTTCTTTCCTAACTCTTCATTAAACATGGGTAACGAAAATAATGTTAACCCCAATCCTACAATTACTTTTGAAGCCGAAACATTTAGAAGGATTCAACCTGAGGAATATTTACGTAAATTCGTTCAACAGCATGTTAGACCTGATGGTCGATCTTACAATCATTTTCGCAAAACCACTGTAAATTTAAGCAAGTAGATTTTTTTATTGTCAAAATTCTAACGTGAAATATGTGAATTAAAGCGTGATTTCATTCTTTAGGTTGTATAACAACGGCCGATGGCTCTTCCATGGTACGAATAGGAAACACGACCATAGTTTGTGGCATCAAAGCCGAAGTATCGGAACCGAAACTAAATTTTCCCAAAGAAGGTTATTTAGGTAAAAAGTTTTTCTTTTGCATTTCTTAAAATTATCAAAATTATCAAAATTATCATTATTTACGCGTTAATAATTAAATAGTTCCGAATATCGATTTGTCACCAATTTGTTCACCGAGGTTTAAACCTGGGCCTCCAAGCGAACAAGCACAGATCTTAAGTGAAAATTTAAACAAATTATTAAAAAAGTACGTATAATATTGATTTTATATTATAACATTCGCAAAATTTAATAATATTTATTATTTTTTTTTTTTTAAAAAGTCCAAAGGTAATTGATTTAGAAACATTATGTATTCAAGAGGGAAAAGCTGCTTGGGTTTTGTTTGCAGATATTGTTTGCGTAAATTATGATGGAAATATATTTGACGCTTGTGTAATGGCATTAATATCTGCTTTAGCAGATGGTAAGTGTATTCAAAGAAATCCAAATTTACTAAATTAAAATATTAACCACATAAAATCTTGTAGTAAAACTTCCTAAAGCAGTTTATGAGGATGGCTTAGTAAAAGCTACTGAAGAGAAGATAATTGCTCTTAGTTTTATACGGACACCTTATTCCATATCTTTTGCAATGTTTGACGGGTAAGTGAACTACAATTGATTTTTTACTTGATTGTTTTTGAAAAGCTTTTCATATAAGAATTTCATAGGAAACATTTGTTGGCTGATCCAAATGAAATGGAAGAATCAATCATCAAAAGTGCAATCACAATAGCCATTGACGAAACTGGACAACTATGTAATATATGGAAAGTTGGAACTTCATGCACACCGGAACAATTGAGAACTTGCATATCCAAAGCACGTGATAGATATGTAGATATCACTTCGATCATTGAGAAAGCAAGACAAGCAACTTGAGAAATCTTCCTTTTTGGAGACACTTTAATAAAAATTTATTTTGCCGTGACTTTGGAGTTATTTTAGTTTTTGCGTTTATTCTGTTTTTTGAACTTGGGAAATGAGAAACGCAAGTTCAAAGGCTACATTTTTAATTCTATTCGATTGATCATTTTCATCTCCAAAATGCCCTCCTTCCATATCAATTTTTAAAATTAATAAATTACCATTATGATCTGTTGATTGTCTTGTTCTCATTCTAGCTACCCATTTTAATGGATGCCAATAACTAACTCTTTGATCCTTCATGGCTGCTGTAACCAAAATTGAACAAGTTTGTCGTGATCGTAAAGTTGAAATATTATCATATGGCGCGTAACTGGCCAGATATTCATAGGTTTCTTTATTTTCCAGAGGATTTCCCCATTCATTATACTCAATCCGAGTGAGTGGCAAATCAGGACTTAACATGCTTGATAACGGATCCAAAAAAGGAACTCTCAAGATAATTGCACGAAACAAATCTAGAAAACCGCGATTAAAGAATATACGACAATCATTTAAGAAATTGTAACCGCATCGCTCAACTAGATAAATTATTCAAAGGAACCAGAAAATCTACCTGGTCGCATATTAAAGGCAGCTCCTGAGGAGAAAATAGAAAAAAAAATGATACATATATATATGTGAATTTGAATAGGTAAATTTGAGGAGGTAAATTCACGAATATTTACCTAATAATAATCCACCAGCACTAGAACCTATTGACGCGATAAGAGATGGGTTTGAATATCCAGCTTCAATAAGATATTCAATTACCGAAATCAAATCTGTAATCGAATTTTTTTTATTCATCAATCGTCCTTGATCGTACCACGCGTAACCTAACTCCGAACCTCCCCTAATTGAGAAAATATGAGTAAAAAAAAAAAAGAAAAGAAATGTGGATAAGAGTATTTAAATATTTACCTGACATGTGCAAGTGCAATAACCCAACCTCTTTCTAACAATGAGAAATGTTCAAGTTGAAAATCAGGCACAGTTGAAACTCCATAAGCTCCATAACATCTAATTAACACCGGATTTCTATTAGAACCAAATAGATTTTTTATTATACATTCGGAAATTATCATTCAAGAAATCATTTATATCGAATAAATGCATTACTTGTTATCCAGAACCAAAGATCTCTTATGTAATAAAGTAATTGGTATTTTCGAACCATCCTTTGAGTTTACATATATGCGATGACACGCGTATAAAGTGTGATCAAAATCTGTTTAAGTTAGTATAATGCAGTAATAATAAGCAAAACGCGTAATATAATTAATATATTTACTATTAAAAGGATTAGATCTTATTGAATGTAATTTCCTAGTTTCCATATTATACTCATAAATTGATTGGCAAGCGAATGGAGAATCACAAGTGAACCTTACAATATCCGTATCATAATTCTCAATCGGACGGACAAAGATATTAGTTAAATTCCTAAACAAATTTTTTTTTTTTTTTTGAAAGAGAAATTTAAACATATAAACCTACAATATTTGTTTCCGGAGACGCAACACCAAATTTTGTTGGTAATTCAATTTGATGCACATCATGTGAATCGAAATTGTAACAGAAAATTATTGGTAATCCTTCTCTTTTTGCAAATATCACAGCAAATTTCTTATAAAAAAAAGATGCGTTAAATTATTGGAAATAAGAATAAACGCGTAAAAAAAAAAAAAAAAAGAGCAAATAGGGATTACACGAAATATGTCAATATCTTCTATCATTTCGTTATTTTTGACTGAGAATATAGTTTCCCAATTCCTTTTATTACAATTCTCGAGACTTGCACGGACCAATTTAAAATTTCTCGTATTAGCAACATTTGTCAAAATATAAAAGTATCCCTTGAAAAATATCAAACAAATAAAAAAAAATTAGATTTTCTACTAATTACCTATACAAATAATTTTAAACTCACATTATGGTGATCAACGTAATATTCCAAATCAGATGAACGTGGTTCAATAAGTTTAAGTTCCGGAATTCCTTTAGAAAAGTCATGATGGGCGTCAAAAATTCGTACTTCAGAAGTGGAAAAACTATTTGAATTGACTGCGATAAAAGACTAACAACGCGATAAGAATTCAGTAAAAATAAATAAATAGACCAGAAAAATAAATTGATTATGAATATGACCTTATCCTTTGTAACTGTAATATCAACAAATGATGATTTATCATCATCTTCATATATAAGAATATCATGCTGCGGGGAACTTCCAATGTGATGTGCGTAAACCTATCAAGTTGATGTAAATTCTTCCGGTCACATTTTACGATTTTACGATAAATTTGAAAAATTACCTTGTAAGGCCTAAGTTGTTCATCCGTTATAGTGTAATAAACAATTTTACTATTACTTCCCCACACGAAATTAAATATTCCTTCTAATTTCTCATTATGTAATATTAAATTTTCATTTAAATTTTTAAAATGTAATATACCAACTTCTTCACCCTCTTGTTCTATTAAATAAGCAAGTATCTTATGATCCGGTGATATTAATAATGTTCGAATGCATTTTTTTGTTCCTGCCAACCATTTCGAGTCCAACAGAACTTCCTAATATTTAAATCAAACGTTCAAGGTAATTGGATTAAACTTTCTAGAATATGAAGAATCATAATTACGGTACTTCTATCGGAGGAAATCCCTTTTTATTACGACAATATTTGAGCCCGTATTTAGTTGATATTGTATAATACTCATATCCATCCACAAAAGTCTTTATAGGTGCCATAATTCCTTGAGTGATCAATTTTTTTCTCAATTCCTGTTTACAGAACGCACATATTATTTTCCATTATAAAGTTTAATTTACAATAATAAACAAAGTATTACATGAGATAAGCGTCGTTGTAATGATTTTGTGCCTTTCATAAGAGATTCTGTATATCTATTATTATAAATAAAATCTACTTATTTATTTTATTTATTGAAGATTTATTCATGTTATATCCTGGAAAGGTTTCTTACTCATTTTCAGCTTTAATGTATTTCAGGACCTCCTAATCCATTATAGAATATGTAGAATATGTCAATATACTTCGCGCCTTTTATATAGTGTTTTTTTTTAAAAAAAAATAATTATTATTACGTGATTTTCGGAATTTTGTAGCCATTGAAATTCATCGACGCGTTCAATTCCAAAATAAACTGAACTAAATGGTATTTGTTTTGGAATAGGTGGTTTACTACTCTTTCTAAAAAACCATGAAATTATTCAGGAAAATATTTATTGAAGATACAATATTATTTAGGTAATATCATTAACCTTTGTATCAAATTCATAAAGTTATCGAAAGTGAATGATGAACTATGTAAATTTTGATTTTTACACTGTATAATCAAATGTAAAGATTGAATTAAAAATATATCAAAATATGTGAAGTTTAAGATGTGAATGGTGGCACCTTTCGTATTAGAAGCATATTTTGATTAATTTTTGTATAGTCGCGAGTCAATTTTCTCAGGAAATTCACGGAAATGCGCATTTTTTTTTTTTTTTTTTTTAAAAAAAAATAATTATCCCGATATATAAATGGCGATCATGTGTATTTGCATTTGTACCCAAAATAGAGTTTTGGCATAAAACGCTTTATTTTACAAGTTGTAACACGTGAATCTATATCAACGCCTTATCGTTATGGTTACTTACTATTAAAGTATAACCGAAATATTTAAATTGAACGATGATCTTGTCGTGGCTTATACAAATCGCAAAGTCGTTCACATTGTGACAACATGAAAAGAATTGGGTTTCACTCCGTCTTTGTTAAACGTCCGACGACATGCTGCTGTTGTATTCCACTTCGTATGAGTGTTATTGTTTTATCCGTTTTATTATTTGTATGTACCTTCAAGTAATTGAAAGCATTTTTATGTGGTTTTGCCGAAGGATATTAACGATAATTTGATAATTTTGTACGTGTTTCATGGACAAGATACATGGGTTTTTGAACGCTTCTACATATTTTTCTGAAGTTGTCGGTAATATATAATCATTCGTTTGTTTTTTTTTTCGATTGCTTCTATTTGACCAAATTTTAATTTTTTTTCGTATCTCTAAAAAAATATTCTTAGTTTATTCACGACATATTGCAAGAGGGTTAACAATTGTGTTAGGGCTGTTATATTCTTTAGTGATTCCTATATCAATATTCGGAATATACGCGACACGTAAAGTAAATAAATTAATTTATCAATGATTTTATGAAATCAAACTAAATATTTATTTATCATCCCCCCCCCCCCCGGGAATAGAGAGATCAAATCAATCCAAGATCAATAGATTTATTTTCGAAATTGTTTTGGATGTCATTATTACTATTGTTTATATTACATTTAATTGAATTAATTTTATCTTTTATGTGGAAAAAAGATACGATTGATGCATGTCAAGATGATTTAAGTGTTCTGGTCCCTTCGAATTCTTCTACTATTCAAGTAGCTTATGATCCTAACGCTCCTACTAAAAAACAAGTTGATGATGCATGTAAACAAGCTGTTAATGTAGCTTTGTTTTTGACCCTTTTTGATTTTTTGGTTTTTAAATTGATTTTTTTTGTAAGTTTTTTTTTTTTTTTCCTTCTTTCATAATGTATATATATATATATATATTAGGTTAACTTTATAACTTTTTTTTTTTTTAAAAATATAGTTTTATTTTGGAACGGTCGTTAGCACTTATAGTAAAGAATTATTACAGCCTCTTGCAACTGATAATAAAGGGAAACAATTAGAATCGTCTCCCGGAGCAAGTCTTGCAACTGATAATAAAGAAAAACTATTAGGATCGTCTCCCGGAGCAACTAATAAAGAAGGAAAATGAGCAGAAAGATCTTCATTAGAAGGAAACAATTTTTCTCAATCAAAGTATAAAAGTTGCAACTCTACAACTACTTCCTTCAATTTAATATTTCCATCATGAAAAATACATACAAGTTTTTATTTAATTTCAAATGATATTGGAAAATGCAGCAAAATTTTCTAGCTGAAAACTTATAATAAAATACAAAGAAAACAATAAAAATATATTTTTTTAAAAAATAAAAAATGACCAAAATTGTATCTAAATAATTTTCTAAAATGTTGGAGACGAAACAAATAAAAATAAAACATATTTTAAGAAATTGTGATCATCACGAACAAAAAGTAATCAATCCTCAATAACATTACCATCCTTATCATATATATGAATATCAAGTTGGGGACAATACTCTTTTTTGACACGATCGAAAAATTTTGAATGCTTTTCCAATTCATCACAACACATTATATTGACTTGCAATAATTGGTCCCAGTTGATAACTCGAACATCCTTTCCTGTGACAGCTGGAAAATATGAGAGGTGAATATAATTGAGATTTGGCGTGGTTCTTGCAACCACATCCAAAAAATGTCCATCATTTTCGAAATCCCTTCCTTCTAAAGCCAACACTTTCAAATTTGGTGTATGCTCCACAAGATTACAAAATAATTTTTGATCCTCTTCCCTTAATGGCATCCATAATTCTTCTAATTGTTCTCCACAATTATCTGCCAAGTATTGAAGTGATTTTGTATAAGTTTCTTCCCAATTGCAATCTATGATATGCGGTGGTTCAATTTGAAGATTTTTAATCTTCTTCCATGATGTTAATAATGTAAAAAAATCCCCAGGCGAATCTCCCCAACTACAACAGTGAACTAATGCACGATCTATTCTCTTACAATCACGGAGAGCCCCAATAGTTTCTTGATTCGCAACATGCATCATCAAATCGATCTCTCGAACCGTTCCAGTGATCGTTGAAATAAGATTACTAACAGATGGTAAATAAAGTGTATCATCATTATTGGGACCACGCAATCCGGATGTATGTATTTTAACTCGTTGGACGGATCGACATGATTCCGATATGTCTGAAAAGAAAGAATCCATTACAGGTGGAAGATCTTCGGAAATATGATCAGGAGTAATAGAGTTAAAACCAACAATAAAAGCGTGTAAGCTTGGTATTGTTTCAGCAAATCTTACAACACCTTTCAATTTCTCTTCCAATGTAAACTTTGTTTCATTCTGTTTTGGATCATAATCATATTCTACATGAACCCTTCTAACGAATTTACCATAACCTTCTTGAATAAGCCATTGAAATAATTTCTCCCAGTCTCGTTTTACGTGAAGTTGAAACTTTACTCTTTGCCATATTCGAGGTACTGCTATTTGACGCCAGACCGAACAAACCAAAGAGGCCTTATAAAGATCTGATCTATTTGATGATAAATGATTTTCAATCGCATTAGGTATCTCTGACTCATAAACTGGAGAATCGTCCAAAAGTCCTCCAGATAAATTTTCAAATATTTCAGTAATAAGTTCAGGAGGTAACTTATGGTTTTGTCTTAAAGTCTGTTGTTGTTTTGACGACTTCTTACGAACTCTTGTTTGTGGCATTTGAAATAAATAATATAAAAAGAAATTTACATACCACAATAAAAACATACCCAATGTATTAAGAATCTTAGGGATGTGATCCGATCATATGACAGATTTAGGGATGTTAAACGATCTCGCGATACGATCATATGACCGATCTCGGTCGGATCGGTCCGTCACGATAAAATTAACTGCGCTTTACAATCAAGTCGATTTGTGATTGGATTCAGATTTATAAAAAGAAATTTTTATTTTTTTAACAAATATGTAAACCCATAACATAGACAAATGCGTCTTAAAATTAGAAAAGACATGTAATTATGCAAATTATTGTATAAAAATAACTTATATTTTAAACTCGCTTCGAGGAGAAAGTTTTGTTGCTGCAAGAATTTTCAACGATTCATTGACAAATTGTAAAATTCGCTAATAATGAAAAGTATGTTTTTTCTTTCTTTTTATCAATCCACGATTTTGCAAAATTCTTTGTAAATGCGAAAGCCTTTTTTTAACAAATATTCCAACGTTATCCAGAAGTTTCTTCATCCAGAATATGATGATGGGTAAATACAAATCATTCATTTCTTTTACTAAGTATTATCCTGCTAGTAATATAACAAATGTTGTATTTCTTCCCAAAAAGAAATATTTCAAAAAGAATACAAACCATTCTTTGATTTATTAAATTTAATTAACAAATAAAAATCAATTCCACCTTCAAAATCGATCGGTCTAAAAGATCGGAATTTAAAGAACGCCTTCGGGATGGATCGGATCGGTCCGTCACGTGGTCAATTAATGAGTCTTTTCCATTTCAGGTTTAGCAATAACAAAACAAAAGAACCAATCATGGATCGACTCATCCAACGGTTTCGAAAGGGACCAATCACGTATCGATTTTTTTTGAATCGGGACACCTTCGCTCCGGACTAATAATAAAATTAGTATGTAATCTAAATTATAATACTTTGATTTTTAGCATGATAAGATAAATCGCACAAGAACACAAAAATAACTTTGTTATATTTTAAAAAGTGTCTAAACCTACCTCACTTGGAGAAGAAAGGTTTTTGTTACAGCAGCGCTTTCAACGATTCATTGACAAAATTGGTATATAAATGAAAGTATTTGTTTTGACACGAAATGAAACTAAAAATAAAGAAATAAAGACATAAATTTACCATTCTCAGTGAAAAAAATCGGTTCTAAAAAAATGCATTTAATTTCGAACATTGCTATTCAACAATTGTGTTTATATCAAACTTGGCTTGTTTAAAACTATAAAATCTTTTTTTTGTAAATTAAAAGTCCGGACTGATATCGGATGGATCGGATCACTAACATCCTTAATTAAATGATTATCTGATCTATCATGTGTAACTTCTTTCGTTCGAATTTTGAAATATATTATTTTCATATTTGGTACATTTGAATATCACGTAAATTTGTAAAGTAATATTTCTTTCAAAAATGTCAGAAAGTCAAGACATCGATATGGTTAATGTTGAGGACGTTGACGTTCAAAAGAAGGCATCCGAGGCTGATGCTTTGGTTGTTGCTGGTATATATTTATACTGTGAATTTTTTTTTTTTCAAAAATAAGAACAAGTTGATTGATCGGTCTATTGTTTGTTGGGTCATGGGTAGATATAAGACAAAACTTTATGCTTCTTGAACGTGCAGTTCATACGTTTGAGTCACGCTTTACGACGAGGGTTTTGAGAACTACTGCATCAATTAGAAAACGGTTGAATATAGATATTTTGTTTCAGTCTTTTCGGGATGTTTATCCAAAAGGTCAGTAATTTGATTATTTCCATTTTATCAATATAGATCATGAAATTATCAAATCTAAATTCATAATAAGGGTGTATCGATTCTCACGAAAGGTCATCATTAATATGACGTATTCCGCTTATTACCAATCTCGTTTAATTAAATTGTTGATTAGGATATCAAATCTGACACCATGACCTTTGAACTTTGAAAATAGATTCTGCTGACAAAGGAAGACTTCGGAATTACTTGGGAAAGGTACCATTCATGTCAATCAAATCACCCCCTTTTTCGTTTGTTTCCTTAAATAAAAAAATATCCTTTAATTAAAAACTTTATCATCACGAAAGGATTCCGGACTTATGGACGTTGATTCCGAAGAAGATACATTAGATAACTCTCAACCATTACCCGAAATTGACCTTTATCTTCATCTATTGGTAATGATATACTTGTTGGACAAACAAGATTATGAACAGGTTAGCAACATATGAATTCACAGCACTTTAATTTGTAAATGTCATACATATATTTATATATATATATATATTTTTAGGGTATTCGATTGTCTTGTGAAACTATTAATAGAATCCAAATTTTAAATCGTCGTACATTGGATCAATTGTCTGCTCGCATATATTTTTATTATGCACGTTTTTACGAACTTACCGGAAATTTAGCTGAGATTCGACCGTATGTCTTAAAATTTATCAATTTATATAGTTAGTTATCTGGAATAACTCTGTTAAATTAAATTATACTCATTTAGCGTTTTATTGGCTGCACAACGGACAGCAACTTTACGTCATGATGATGATTCTCAGGTATCAATATATCAGATAGTACGATACGAGATTATTGCAAAATTAAATCATATATTAATATATATCCATTTTAGGCTACGTTGATAAATCTGTTGTTGAGAAATTATTTTCATTATAATCTTTTTGACCAAGCCGATAAGCTTGTCAGCAAAGCAACGTTTCCCGAATCTGCAGGAAATAACCAACAGGCTCGTTACATGTATTATTTGGGTAATCCATATATGTTAACTATAACTCAATTAAGCTATCATGTTTAAAAAAAGTAAAAACTAAACATCATAACTTTACTTTTAGGTCGCATTAAGGCAATTCAGCTCGATTATACGGCTTCACATGCTCATTTGAACCAAGCTATTCGCAAAGCACCTCAGAATACCGTTACAGCCGGATTTCAACAGGCTGTAATGTATCAACTTATTTATCCTTGCGAGAGTGAATTATTATGATCGAGAATTAATTTTGAAATAAAATTTCGCATGTTTTATAGGTATATAAATTGTCAATTATTGTTCACCTTCTCATGGGTGAAATTCCCGAGAGATCCATATTTAGACAACCGGTTCTAAGAAAACCATTGGTTCCTTATTTACACATTGTTCAAGGTAAGATATGAATGACTAAAGAATTTCTTATTCGTATAAGCGATATTAACTTATTTTTTATATCCATTTTTAGCTGTACGTATTGGTGATTTATCAAATTTCCAAGAAGCGATAGCCAAATATGGAGATGTCTTTCGTAAAGATAAGAATTTTACTTTGATCATAAGGTAATATTTGATTAAACTTTTTTGTACAGGATTAGGATTTTATATTAAAAATTTTTTTATATTTTTTAGACTCCGACATAATGTAATCAAAACAGGTATTAGGATGATAAGTTTATCCTATTCCCGTATATCTTTACGTGATATTTGTTTAAAGTTACATCTTGATAGCGAAAAGGATGCCGAATATATTGTCTCTAAGGTACCGCCGGTGTTCCAGATATTGTATATTGCTTTATCACATTTAATTTAATCTGTTAATGCTTTAGGCTATCCGAGACGGTGTCATTGACGCAATTATAGATCATGAGAAAGGATTTATGAAATCCAAGGTAAATGTTAGATATGATTTTTTTTTACTTTAGGTTTAATGCTTACCTTTTTGTTTAATTACCTTTAGGAAAATGTTGATATTTATTCGACCAATGAACCCCAAAATGCTTTTAATGCTCGTATTACATTTTGTTTAAATCTTCATAATGAATCAGTAAAAGCAATGAGGTTTCCACTTAATGCTCATCGTAAAGAATTAGCTTCTGCTGAAGCACTTCGTGAAAGAGAGAGAGAACTTGCTAAAGAAATTGTTGATGGTGAGATGGATGAAGATGATGAGGGAGAATACTAAAAAAATCAAATTCTTATTTTTTATTTTGTTGAAATAAATCAATACAACCTATTTTATATAGAAAATGATGCTATTTCTTCCTATTACTCAATATTATAAATTTATCATAATTATCTATTTTCCAGTAAAATTAATACTATGATTGTTAATCAATTTTATGTTATACTATTTTACAAATGCTAAACAATGTATTTTAAACCTTTTTGATAGATAAATTATGTATTTGGATTTTACAGTATTTTTTAATTTAGTATGTTTAATAAAATAATGCTGATTAAAATATTTCTGTTATATAATTAAGGTTTTTAGGTAAAGGTAAAATTTGAAAATTTTATATTATACATCTCAAGTATAAATCAATTCATTATTCAATATGCTTAATAAGCCATTAATCAATGTAAGATTACATTATTCTATTAAAGTTATATTAATAATATTTTATTTAATATATAGATCCATTATTTGATTAATATATAATATAATAATAATTATTTTAATAATTATTTATTTATTCTTAATTGTTTATTAAGCCTCCCAAATTTAATTGTTTGTTTAACATCATACTTAAACAAAAAAAATGGAAGGGAAGAAAGAAGAATAATCAACAGTAAATTTTAAACACTTTATATTAAACAGTCAAACTCAATAAATTTTATTTAAAAGAATTTATTTTTGATACATCAACTTACTAATTATTTTATTTATACTTATAATTTTTTCTTATAAGATCATTAATAGTATTATTATGTTCGCAAGTAAAGAAATTCTTTTTTTGATCTTAACATATCACACACATCAGATATACAATTTGATATTGTTTCTGAAATTCAACAGAAATCTTTATTAAACCATTTTTTGACCTATACCAATAACATTTAAATACTTTGTTATTTTTTGACAGAAATAGTATACTACTTCTATTGGAGTTGAACATCTAATCTTATAAATATATAACCGATTATATAAAAAATAAAATGTTAATACTAATAAACATATACATGTATAAGACCAAGTTTAAATAGTTATTTTATAGGAAATTATTTTATTATCTATCTATTAGCTTAGTATTATTAAAAAGTATTGTAACTTCTTGTAATAGTTGCATTCTACAAAGTTCTAAACCTTTATATATATGATAAATCACATTTTATATAGAATTGAACATTAAGCAAAGATAGTCAAAACTTTTCTGTAATTTTAGCTTCATATAATGAATTAAAATTAACATAATATTTATTATATTCTAATAAATATTATAAAAATAAATTATATTTACAATGTTTATGAAATATATAAATTATAAAAACTACTTACCATTTGTTTTCATCACATTTGATAAAATAATGTAATAATTCAAAAATATCTAATGATAATTTGATAGGTTTTCAAACCTTATAAGTTATATTGTTACATTTTTTAATTTATTAAAAAAATATTAATATAAGTTACAATTTAGTTAAAAATATTTGATAATCATTTTGTTATATTTACTTAAAAAGAATAATATTTTATTTGATAATATGAATTAATAAATTTTATACTTCTGTAATATTGTTTGTATTATATCATTAATTTTAATTATTTTATTAATTATTAGCATATACCATAATATCAAATAATAATTATTATATATACATAAAATTTTATAGCATAAAAGTAAATTAAATATAAAAAAAAAAAAAATCTCAAAAAAATTAGAAATATCTTTATTTATTACTAAAAAATAGGTTTTAAATAATTAATTATATAATACTAAATATTTATTATAATTTTTCAATATTGCTAAATAATTTTAATACAATTGTTCAATTCTTCTTCTAATTATAAATGTTTTTTTACCTATTCTTAAATCTTTTCCATTGTATCAACTTTTGAAAATAAAGTTCCTATTTCTTCACTAAGATTATCTTTAATAATACTACTCCTTACAAAGCAAAATTTAATATTGATATTATTCTCTTTACAGAATTAGTCTAACTCTGATATAACGTGCTATTACAAATCAAAATTATCTTGTAATAATAAACAAATGAATGCAATTTATACTGAACTAAATATACATTGATAATCATTACTACTATCTATAAATAAACAAAAGATTGATAATAAGAATTTATTAATATATTAATTTTATCACAGTTAAAAATTCTGTTAAATAATAAAGAACTTTACTAGATTGAAAAAGTATATCTTTATATGATACTAAAAATGAGAACTGTAATTAATATGGAAGCTTTGCAATAGAAAGGAAGGAAATTCTAAAAAAATTTTTTTTTGAGTTAATGTTAAATCTGGACTTATTTTACTAAAATAATCATAATTAGCTTAGAAAGTAAAATTTAATTTTTTTAGAGTTTCCTCCCTTTCTACTGTAAAGCTCCTATATATTGCAACTTTTAATATTACAATATATATTAGTTTTAAGCTATATATATTGCAACTTATAGTATTGCAATATATATTGCAACCAATTTTAGCTTATGTTACAATAAGTTGTAAATTTGAAATTAATTGCTACATTATCTTTATATAATATTATTACATATTCACTATAAAATAATCCTGTAATATCTTTTGAAATTTAATTAAAAATATAACTGATAGTATAAAAGAAAGTTTGGTAATATCATGATCATATGCTAATAATATCATATCATTTAATACTAAAGTTAGTTTTATTTCTTACTCCTGTCAATATTGCTGTACTTTCTTCAATAGTAATTTTATATTTATCATTTGCATAAATAAAGTATATAAACTTCTAATATTTAATGTAAAATTCATAAAAGTATTAAAATAAAGCTGTACAGTAATAAGAAGCTTCATGTTCTTTTTGTAATTAATATATCTAAAGTATATATTTAATTAAAATTTGCTTGTATATTGCATAGCTGCTTTGTTAAATAGATGTTTAGGCTAAAATTAAAGACAGATCTATTCTTCTGATAGTATTACAAGGTTTTTAATAATATAATACTATTCTTATCATTACAAACTATAACATCATCTTGAATATTTACTTGTAAATTATTTGATTTAAAATTAAGTCTTTAAATAATAATTTGATACAAATCATGAATAGAAATTATAATTAATATAAAAAAATGTTTCTATATCTTCTATTATTTACAGAAATATATTCTATAATATATTGATGTAAATATATATATTATATATATATAAAAATAATGAAAATATATTAATACAGTCATACCTCTCTATAGCGAATTTTTATATAACGAATTTTTTGGACAACTATATTAAATTTACCCTC